CTGGGGGCCCGTTGGTGGCGGCCCGTTGGGGGCCCGCCCGCATCCGCCGCCCTCACGCCGTGCCACGGCTTCGCCCTCCGCGGCGCTGTTGGGGCCGCCTGCGTCCTGCTTCCGCCTCCCGCCCTCGCCTCGTTGGCACTCTTGGTCTCGGCGCCTTGACTCATATCTGGGGCTCCCATGCCGGTCCTCAGCGGTGTGGTCTCCGCCTCGCACGTGTTTCTCTCCCCCCATCCGGCCGCCGGGTCTGCCGAGCCGCCCCCCCCCCCGCTGCTGCTCCGCGCCGCCGCTGGTCGTCCCCCCCCCACGGCGCTCCCCCCCGGCCGCAGCTGGTGACTCGCCCGAGCGGGCCCAGCTTCCTCTCCCCCAGTCGCGCGGGGGCCTCCTCCTCCTCCTCCCCCTCCTCCTCCTCCTCCTCCTCCTCCTCCTCCTCCTCCTCCTCCTCCTCCTCCTCCTCCTCCTCCTCCTCCTCCCTCCTCCTCCTCCTCCTCCTCCCCCTCCTCCTCCTCCTCCTCCTCCTCCTCCTCCTCCTCCTCCTCCTCCTCCTCCCTCGTGCATTGCGGCATCAGTCTGCATACAGAGCGCCCCCTGTTGCCAATCCGCCAGAGCAGTCACCCTCTGCCCAGCCGCCGACGCAAGAAGTGCGTATGTCTGTATGTGTGAGTGTGCGTCCGTCTCATCGCCCGACTTTCTACGCCGCGCCGCTGCGCTCGTGGCCGCGACGCAAACACGTGTGTGTGTGTGTGTGTGTGTGTGTGTGTGTGTGTGTGTGTGTGTGTGTGTGTGTGTGTGTGCGCGTGAATGTGTGTATGCGTGTGTGTGTTTTGCATGCGTACGTGCGTGCGTGCGTGTTGTGTGTGCATGTGTGTGTGTGTGTGTGTGTGTGTGTGTGTGTAAGTGCGCGCGCGCGCCCGTGTGTGTGTGTGCGCGTGTGTGTGTATATATGTGTGTGTGTGTGTTGTGTGTGTGTGTGTGTGTGTGTGTGTGTGTGTGTGTGTGTGTGTGTGTGTGTGTGTGTGTGTGGTGTGTGTGTGTGTGTAAGTGCGCGCGCGCCCGTGTGTGTGTGTGTGTGCGTGTGCGTGTATGTGTGTGTGTGTGTGTAGGTGTGCGTGCGCGTGTGTGTGTGTGTGTGTGTTGTTGACCCTGGTTGCTGGTAGGTGCGGCCCCCTAGAAGCACTGCGTACAGAAACCCGACCAACCAAGCAACAAGCATTCCAGCACGCCCCAGCGTGTCGCCGACGCGGTGGCAAACCTGCCGACGCCTACGCTTTGGCAAAACCAGTGCCCGGCAGGAGCCTGGGCAACGGGGACGGCCATCCTCTGGGGAGGCCAGGCCGAATTCCACTGACACCGTGAGATTCTGCGCCTTCCAGAGACGAGGGGAAGGAGGCAGAGGATGAGGAGGAGGAGGAGGAGGAGGAGGAGGAGGAGGAGGAGGAGGAGGGGAGGAGGAGGAGGAGGAGGAGGAGGAGGAGGAGAGGAGGAGGAGGAGGAGGAGGAGGAGGAGGAGGAGGAGGGAGGAGGAGGAGGAGGAGGAGGAGGAGGAGGAGGAGGAGGGGAGGGGGGAGGAGGAGGAGGGAGGGAGGAGGAGGAGGAAAAGGAGGTGGTGGTGGTGGTGGTACTCAGCTGATGGTCTGGACGACATGTCATAGTGGTTGCATGATGGCCGCTTTGCGCTACAAAAGGGAAGGGACCCCTCATGCGTTTTCACGTTTCGGCATCCCCGCCGCGACTGGTTATCCTATCCGGATGCGCCATGCATAACGTTTGGGTCGAAGGGGCCTACGAAACCATTCCCGAATTGTGAGTACTGCCGCACTGATTCCAGGAACTACACGGCAGGCATCGCAACTCGCGCACCCTCGGAGGAAGAGCGAGGAAGAGGGAAGGGGAGAGACACGAGGACATGAACACACACACGATGGCGCGGCTGAAACAGGAACAGTTGAAACCTACACACGGCCACGTCCGACGTCGGACCATTGCCAGGAACCGTACCTTACTTTTTGGTCCTACGCTACGTGGTGTTTTCCTTGCACTGGGGGGGGGGGGCATGGGGTCCAGAGAATTGAGCTCTCCTTCTCTCGTGAACGCATTGCCTAGGCCCCGAGCCTTGTACAGCACTTGGCTGGCTGCTACTTCTGCTGCTATGTTGTTGCACTGGTTGGCTATGACTCTCTCTGCTTCCTACAGGCTCACTCTCTCTCTTAGTACTTCTCGTGTTTGTGCCCTTCACAGTTTCTCCAATGAATGCTGCAGCCATTCGTGGCTCTCGCGGGAGGGGGAGGGGGCAGCCTTGACCTCGGACCCGATCTGCATCAAACACTTGGTGATGATGATGTTGGTTGGCGCGATCACCATGTTGTGCGGCTGACCAGTCGGGACGACCGCGTGAATGGAAAAGGTTTGTCGGACCCTCACCTCCTCTCCTTCCTTGGCAAACGTTGGTTCCGCTCGCCAGTAGAGTCGCTTTTGCCAGGGTGGCCAATCCCTGAAACTCCTCTCGAATGTTGACTGCATCCTTCATCTCGGCCATCGCCACGGCAGCTTCCAGTACCGCCATCGCCACCACGAGGGAAGCTGGGCCTAGTCGCGCTCGAGGGTCGGCCGCAACCTCCTGCGTGTAGAGCTGCGCTGCTGCCACCGCCACAAAGTCGAGCCCGCACTACCTGATTTGCAAGTGCGTACTCAGCGGGCATCCTTCCAAAGCGCGTGTTCGCTGTTGTACGCTGAAGAGGCCCTTGACCACCTCCTGCGCTGTCTCGCCGTCGGAATCTTCGCCTTTGTCTGCCATGGCCTCCGCTGCTGCCTCTGGTCCACTGCCCGCCGCCGCTCCCCGAGTGGCTCGCTTCCTTGGCTCTCTTCCGAAGCCTCCAGCGCCCAACCAGGTGTCTGGACCAGGTGTCTTCGCGTCCGTCAGCTGTGCATCCGAGATCTCCCTTAGACGCCACCCCGTCATCAGCAACACTTTCAAACGTAACGTTTGCAGTGGAACGTGACTCCTGATGTGCATCTGAAGAGCCTCAAGTTCTCATGATCCGCACCACATGCTGGACGCCGCAGGGACTCTGTTTGAACGACACTGTATTTGAAATGCACTCGATCTGCTTGGCACTTATGGTTGGGTACTAAGATTGCATGCTGCCTTGCAATAGGTCGGTTGGATAATCTTGGCATGCACTATGCGCACTGATTTGGGACGGTAGATCTGTTACTGAGTGCTCGTTGTCCGTGCGTGCTTTCTTTCGTGAACCTCATGTACGCGTACCATGCTTGTTTATGTTGAAACCGGAGACCGCATCTTTCACCATTTTTTTTGAGCTCCTCGCAAGTCCATGTCGATACGGGTGGGGCCTCAGTGGTTCCTGCAGGGTCTTCTCCTCCTCCTCCGCCTCCTCTTTCTCCCACTCCAATGCTACCACCCTCGACTCCACAGTTTTCCTGTCCCGCATGGTCGTAATCTCCTCCGAATCCTCCGCTTTCGAAGCAGTTCAGAACTCTTCCTCGACGACTCTGCAGGGGGCCTCTGCTAGCCTATGAAGAGGCCCAGGTCCGTGCTCTACATGTGCCATGGCTAAGAGAGCATTTTGTGCCTGGAGGGCCCACGGGTTCCCAGCATACGCATCAGTTCCATTTCACCTGAACAGAGTCCTGCGCCTCGACCTGCACTCGTCCAAACATCGCTGCAAGGAGTTGCACATTCTGCTCTTGCGGGATTTTGAGTGCAGTGCCCCCTTCAGTAGCTCCTTCCCCCATCCGGAGGCATTATCCTCCAGGAACTTGTGGTCGCTCGTCATCAACACGAACGCCTCGAGCCCACTGAGCCCACCGGCCTGGACCCGACATTGCACAACCAAACTCCCAGATACTGTACCCGCCCAGCAGACCAACACGCCAGATACTGTACCAGGCTCGCTGCCGATTTTTCAAAGGGGCAGCCTTCTGGTGCGCACTCTATCCCGCGTGCGAGAATCGCACTCCAAGGTGCAGTGCCGTTTTTAATACATGCTCCGCGTGCGGATCATGTATTGAACATGCAGGTTTTAGTACTAAAAACAACGATGAGTTCATGCATAACTTTATGCATAAATAGTCATGTAACAAAATTCCGATATGTTTAAAACTTCGATGTATGAAACACTGCCCTGTAGAGCGCTGACGGGTCCACGGCACCAGAAAAACGGTAGCACGCTCGGAGAGGGCCCGCGCGTGGTCGTTGGCCCCGGCTCCCACACAGCGAGGCATAATCTGCTGCTTGCAGTGTCGGGGGTGGACAGGCCTCCGACCCTGACACGTCGATTAAGGAATTGGCCGTTTTCGGTTCGCGAGAGGGCGTCGCGGCCGTCATTTTTGCGGGTCCAGGTCCGTCGGTTTCGGTCCCAGGCAGTTTTCACTAAAGGGAGGTTTACTAAAGGGAGGTTTGTCCACCGCCGACAGTGATTCAGAGTGCCGCCGACGGTCCACGCCTGCCGATAAAGCTGCGTGCTAGCCTCTCCAAGTCGCCTGGCCAGCACAGAGAGGATTGAGGAGCCATGGCCTGAGCAGGGAGGGGGAGGGAGGGCACAGAACAATTGTAATGTGAGGTGGGGGAGCACGGATCATGCTGAGGCGGAGGAGGAGGAGGAGGCAGAGGAGGAGGAGGAGGCGATATGACGAGTATGGGGGAGATCCATGTGTGAGGAGGCGGAGGATGAAGATGAGGAAGATGGGAAATGAGGAATTGGAGGACAGGGGAGAGGTTTGACCAAATTGATTCGTTCAGTCTCGCGAGCCAAGGCGCGAGGGTCTCTTGAACCATCTGCGCGAGGAACCAAATTGTGACGATGATGTTGACGATGCTGATGATGATGCTGATGATGATGCTGATGATGATGATGATGATGATGATGAGGATGAGGATGATGATGCTGATGCTGATGATGCTGATGCTGATGCTGATGATTATGCTGCTGCTGATGATGATGATGATGATGATGATGCTGATGCTGATGATGATTCTGATGATGCTGATGCTGTTGATGATGCTGTTGATGATTATGATGCTGATGCTGATGCTGATGCTGATGATGATGATGCCGACGATGCGGATGCCGATGCTGCTGCTGATGTTGATGCTGATTATGATGATGATTATTCTGCTGCTGCTGATGATGATGATGATGATGATGATGCCGATGATGATGCGGATGATACTGATGATTATGAGGCTGCTGCTGATGATGATGATGCTGTTGAGAAGGAGGAGGATAACGAGGATGATGATGAGGATGATGATGAGGATGATGATGCTGATGATGATGACGATGAGGATGAGGATGATGATGATGATGGTGATGATGATGCTGCTGATGATGATGCTGCTGATGATGCTGATGATGATGATGCTGCTGCTGATGATGATGCTGATGATGATGATGCTGATGATGATGATGATGATGATGCTGATGATGATGGTGGTGGTGATGATGATGGTGATGCTGCTGATGATGCTGATGATGATGATGGTGATGATGGTGATGCTGCTGCTGCTGCTGATGATGATTATGATGATGATGATGATGATGATGATGATGATGATGATGATGATGATGATGATGATTATGATCATGATGATGAGGATGAGGATGAGGATGGCGAGGACGAAGAAGAGGAGAAGGAGGAGAAGGAGGAGGAGGAAGAGGAGGAGGAGGAGGAGGAACAACCAGGCGAATGGCAGGGGCAGGAAGACTGGCATCCGGCTATGGCGAGCAGCGCTCGCTCGCCCGCGGCGCGCGGGAGACGCACCCCTCTCAGGCGAACGCCGTGCCTAACATGGCACCACCTGGCATGAGCGCGGAGGAGCGCAGAAAGCAGGACCGCCCGTGGGAAGGGGGGAGAGAGGCATTCTCTCTCGCGGTCTCTCGGGCCCCTGCGGCCTCGGCTCCGCCTCACTTCGAGAAAGGATGGGCAACTTCCACAGAAACTCGCGGAGCTGCGCCGCGCGGCTCTCTCGGACCTTCTGGGGCCGTGTTGGGGCCGTCGTGAGCGTCGTGAAGCGAGATTTGGGGCGTACCGGGGCTCTCTTGGACAGTCTACCGCGTGCTCGCGAAGGATCCCCCTGGGGTCATGGCAACGGCGGCACCGCCCGCACCGCCAGTAGCGATTTCTGCGGCTGACATTCCTAGTATTCGCAGTGCGCGCATGGGGAAACAGGCGAGAACCCACGTATACAGACGGTGGACGTCTGTCAGAACACCAGAATAATGATTATCGAATGTCCTTCTGCACATCCCGCCACCGTGCCTGGGTTGTGGGTCTGAGGCCACTCGGATGGCTGATAGGGGTCCCGTGGAAGGCGTCTTGGGGGCGTCTTGCAGGCAGTTTTTGAAGCTCTTGGGGCCTCCTGGGGCCTTTCCGTGGCCCTCTTGGGGCGCCCTGGGGCCCTGTTGAGGGCTTCTTGGGGGGGCGTCTTAGGGTCGAAGGTTCGAAATGTCCGTTCGGATTACCCCTCTGGGCCCCCTCTTGGGGCCCTGGGTCCCTCTTGGGCCGTCTTCGGGGCTTCTGGGGCCGTCTTGAGGCTCTCTTGGGTCGTCTTGGAGCCATCTTAGGGGCCTCTTGGCCCGTCTTGGGGTGATCTTGAAGGCCTCTTGGGCCGTCTTGGACGTTGTGAACGCCGAGGAGGCAATACAAGTGTTAACATTATACGTTTTCCAAAAAAGGAATGGGACGATTTTGGCTTCTGGAGGGGGCTTCTTGGAGCGTGTTGGGGCCTCTGGGCCGTCTAGAGGCCAGCGTGAGCGTTTTGGATCGATCTTGGACCGTCCGGGGCGCCTCTTAGGGCCCTCTTGGCCCGTTTTGGGGCCTACTGTCCCCGCATGATGCGTTCGACCGGGCCACGGGGGACCCACCCCCTCCAAATCGACAGGACCCGGCTCCCGGGGGAAGGTTTTGGGGTGGGAGAAGCATTTCACATGCCGATGAACCAGGGTGCATGTCGGCCAAGGGGTCGGCTGATTTCTCAGGGTTGCATGAGCCTTGGAGCACTCCACTACGTGCTGAAGGCACCGTGGCGGATACTTGTGTATACATACACACACATATATATGTGTGTGTGTGTCTATATAAATACGGGTGTATGTATGTATGTATATATATATATATATATCTGATCGCGGGCTCCGGGCCCACGGCCCCCCCCAAGATGGGATGGGTCCCAGGGTCCTCGGGCCCCCCCCCTCCCCAAGATGGGATGGGGGGGAGGAGGAGGAGGAGGAGGAGGAGGAGGAGGAGGAGGAGGAGGAGGAGGAGGAGGAGGAGGAGGAGGAGGACGACGACGACGACGGCGACGACGACGACGAAGACACCGTCCGCTCCGGCTCCCTGAAGCACTGGAACACAACGCCACACCCAGAAGGAGGCGACGACGGTGAAGACACCGTCGACGACGACGACTCACTACGGTTGCTAGGCATTACGGTGGGGCACCTCTCGTCCGTCAAGTGTAGCAGTTTTACGTCATGCCTGGGACGAGTGCAGCAGTTTTACGTCATGCCTGGGACGACGATGCATATGCCGATGCCGATGCCGATGCTCCCCCTCCTCCTCCTCCTCCTCCTCCTCCACCGACGACGACGACGACGACGACGACGACGACGACGACGACGACGACGACGACGACGACGACGACGACGGCCGAACGCCGACCACACACCTACAGCAACACACCACACCGACACCACATCCAAAGGGGGGGGGAACCACCACGCCACGCCCACGCCCACAGGGGGGGGAGGGGGGCATCGCGCGGGGGGGAGGGGGGCCCGATGGCATTAGCATTGGGGGGGGGGGGGCCCAAACCCTCGACCATATATGGGAGGCTTCTTGGGGGCCGTTTGGAGGCCTCTTGGGAGCCGTTTTAGGGCCTCTTGGTTCGTCTTCGGGGCCTCTTGGGCGTCTCTTGGGACCTCTTGGGGGCCTCTTGGGGCCTTCTTGGGGCCTCCTGGGGGTCTCTTGGGGCGGAAGACTCGGATTTCCGGTTCGTTTCTTGGGTCCTTCTTGGGGCTGTCTTTGGGCCCTCGTGGGCCGTCTTGGGTGCCCCTGGGGCCGTCTTGGAGCCCTCTTGGGCCGTCTTGGAGCCCTCTTGGGCCTTGTTGGGGCCCTCCTGGGGATCTCTTGGGCCGTCTTGGGGCTGTCCTGGGGGCCTTTTTGTGCCATCGTGGAGCGTCGGGAGTTCCAAAAGTCGAGGACCCCAGCTTCATTAGAAAACTAAGGAAAATCAGTGGTTTTGGCCTCTCGAAGCCCCTTGGGAAGGCTTTTGGGGCTTTCTTGTGACGTCTTGGAGGCCTCTTGGGCAGTCTTGGGACCATCTTGGTAGTCTTTGTGCGATCTCTGGGCGTCTCGGCGGGAGACGATGGGGGGGAGGGCAGAGAAAGGGAGATGCATGGGCAGGGGAGGCAAGGCGGGATACGCGGTGCGTGTGTGTGTGTGTGTGTGTGTGTGTGTGTGTGTGTGTGTGTGTGCGTGCGTGCGTGCGTGCGTGCGTGCGTGCGTGCGTGCGTGCGTGCGTGTGTGTATGTGTGTGTGTATGTGTGTGTGTGTGTGTGTGAATGTGTGTGTGTGCGCGTGCGCGTGCGCGTGCGCGTGCGCGTGCGCGTGCGCGTGCGCGTGTGCGTGCGCGTGCGCGTGCGTGTGCGTGCGTGGGCTCCTCTTGGGGCCCTCTTGGCCCGTCCTGGGGCCCCCTTTGGCCTGACCAGGTCGCGCGGGGAGACGCGGGGAAGCCCGCAGGGCTCGCGGGGAACCCCCAGGAGATTTGGCCTATTTGGGTTCCGGGCCCCTTGCAGAAGATTCGGCAAACGACCTGAGGACACGCCCACTCCGTGCCCAGCGGCACGGTGGCGGATAAGCACACACATATTGCTAGGAAGTTTGTAGTTTCACATAGATATATGATTATATAAAATATAATCTAGACTGTCCTGGAGGATCCAGGAAATCCTGCAGCCCTTTGTTGCTCGAGGAAAAGAGCGACCCTCACCTCCCCCCTTTCTCCGCGAGGGGGGTGGGTGCGCGTGCATGGTAGCGGAGCTCGCTTGAGGATCGCGGGCCGCTCCGCACCCCGGCGAGCTCAAGGAGCCCCTCAGCAGCTGGCGGGCCGATCCACGCGAGCGCCGAGAGGACCCCTTGCTAGTCAGAGCTGCGGTCAGACCCGCGCTCTGACAGTGGAGGCCAAGCAGCCACGGAGAAGGCCAAGAAGCCGAACAAGCGAGGAGGCAGGTCGGCGGACACGCGTCAGCACCGCGAGCTCCGAGGGACCGCCTTTAGGAAGCTCAAGGCGTGCGGCAGCAGAGCGCAGCTCACGCAGGAGGAGCGAGCAGCGGTGACGAGGCAGCTGAGAAGCGACATCGAGAGGATAGGGAAGCGTGTCAGCGACGTGCTAGACTATCAAGATGGAGCAGCAGCTGCAGCAACTGGTCGATCAAGTTCAGAGGCTGACGACGGAGAGTCAGAACATGAGACAGGAACTTCAGAACAGAGACGTGACGATCGCAGAGATGCGAGGTCAGCTTCAAGCTCAGCAACAGGCTCAGCAGCAGCGGGTAGCCCCGCGCGGCGAGATGATGGATCCGAAGATTCTTCACAAGGTGAAGCCGTTCGACGGCCACAGGGCGAGTTGGAAGACGTTCAGTTTCCAGTACAGAGCGTACCTGATCGCCCAGGATCGAAGGTACCGAGATCTTCTGGAAAGGTGCGAGGACGGAGCCCAGGAGGTGGACAACGTCAACCTGGACGCGCAGGAGGAAGAGCTAAGCACGCAGTTGTACTACGGCCTGGTCCTGGCGATGCCCGAGGACTCAGTAGGCGAGCTGATCGTGAGGAACAGCCCAGTAGGAGAAGGAGCCGAGTGTTGGAGGAAACTTCAGAAGGAGTACAACCCGAGCGAGGCAGGAAACGTGCTGGCGATGTGGACCAAGCTCACGGACACGAAGTTCGACGCCAAAGAAGACGTGATGGTGAGCATCAGCAAGCTGGACGAGGACATGACAAGGTACCAGAAGATGGCAGGAGAACCAGTCTCGGACCTGATCAAGCGAGGCATCCTTACAAAGGCGCTGAAGGATCACGACGAGCTGCAGAAGCACGTGTTTCGGAACAGCAGTCGGCTAAGTACGTACGAGCTCCTGAGAGCCGAGGTGGTGTCGGCGTTGATGGCAGAGCGAGCGGTTCAGGACGACCCGATGGAGATAGGCGCGCTGAAGGGCGGAAAGAGACCGTGGAAAGGCCGCGGCAAAGGGAAAGACGGCAAGGGCAAGGAGAGGCCACCGAATCCCGACGCCGAGATCGAGTGCCACTACTGTCACAAGAAGGGCCACCGCAGCGCAAACTGCCGAAAGCGGATCGCCGACGAGAAGAATACATCCGAGAAGGACAAGAAGGACAAGAAGCAGCTCCGAAAAGAGAAGGGAAAAGAAAAGAAGAAGATCGGGGCAGCGGCAGTCAGGGAGCTCGAAAGGTTACGACAGGCAGGAGTGGGCACAGGAACAAGTTCGACAGCACCTACACAACAGATGTTGGGAAGTCAAGGAAGCGCCGACAGCGCGATGACTCAGCAGGTGCTGCGCCCAGTCAACTGCGCGCTGCAAGCGAAGATGATTCTGGCCCTGAGGGCAGAGGTCTCAAGAAGCGCAGCCACACGATCGACTGGAAGTACTGCTTGCCTAGCTACCACCAATATGTCTGCTGCTCTTGCAAGAAGACCTTTGAAGGATGGCGATGGCACTTCGATCAGTGGAAGCTGGACTACTGTGCCGCGTGTGCCGAGTACTGCCTGGACAACTGGTTCAAGGACGAGGAAGAGCCAGACGACAACGAGAAGC